TAGTCAGTTGCTAGATTTCATACAGTTTGACAAAGATATTTCCATTGAGGATCTTTACGGTTTCAGAAAAGCTTGTTTAGCATTTTATATTGAGTTAGCAAACAAAATAAAAAAACGTTTTGATTCAAATGATCCTGTTTTACGGAACATGGAAGTATTGAATCCTCAATTTATTTTCTCAAATAAATGTCAAACGCTAGTTAATATTATACATAGATTCGCTATCCTAGCGTCTGATATTCAAAAGTTACATTTAGAATGGAGATTACTTAATGAACATTTGGAAATTCAAGAATATTAGCAACATTTAAAGGGGAAAATGCAAGAACAAAAGAAACAAATATCTATTTTAGATTTTTGTAACTTTGTTTTTTATGTCAAAAGTGATTTCAACGAAATTATGTTCCCTCATTTGAAATACTTTTTTTCTGGTCTGTTGTTCCTTCCTCACTCTTCAGCATCTGCTAAAAGGATATTCTCACAGTTAGCGCTGATTTAATCAAAAAACAGAAATAGGTTACTAGTCTCGACTTGTGATTCTCTCCTCTATACCAAAGAAATGTTGGAAGGTAGTAACTGTTTCAATTATAAACCTTCTATTAGTTTGATTTCCAAAAATATCAATTATCAAGATGATACCTTGGCATCTGCTGTTCAAGAAAATGAAGAATTTTCATTTTAATTTCATGATGAAATTATTAAATATGTTCATCAGGAACAGACAATTCATTTTTAAACATTAATTTAGAATTAGATTATTATTAGAAGTACATTTTAATTTGTGATTCCAGAGGGCTGTAATTAACCTTCAATATGCAATAAATTATTTTTCGTTTCATATTTGTTATTTCATACATGTTCTATTGGTCTAGCAGACCAAGATTAATGAGAAGAAGGTTTATTAGTCTTACTATATTGATACAAAAATAGAAAGAAACCTGTCTCATTGATTGATAATTTTTTTTTAGCGCCGAATTGGCGTAGTGCCAGTGCTCCCGAATCATGAATGGGAGATCGTTCGTTGATCCGCACCTCGACCAGATATTTTTCTCGAGAGAGAATGTATCTAGTTGAAGTGTGGATGATTCCTGCAATGTTTGCAGATGGCTTAAGAGTATATTAACATTGCCTACCAAGGTCACTAGGTTGATGACCTAAGCCGTAGACACGTAAAAAAGGGCTATTTTTATCAAATCAGTTTTCCCATATGATAAACCAAAAAATGCCTCAATCTGCTAGTGGCCTCAGCAACTAGGGCTATTCGACTAGTTGGTAACGGATGTCGTTTATAAAGCCAAACGTGGCCTCACTTAAATGGATTTTAATGCAACCTATTCATATAGTTGACATATGACAAAATGCTACAATGCTCTTCAGAATTAAATAAACACTACGCAATAACATTTCAAAAGTATTTTATTCAAAATGGAGTCATATATAGGCAAAATTATTGTGACAGCGTGAAATGACAGTGACAGTTATGACATAATTCATGCAGTGCGTTCCACTAAGAACTCACAACGACCACGCTCACGACCACGGTTTTTGCCGTTCCATTTGGTTCTGGGCGTCACAATCATTAACTCAAGTGGAATGGATTTTGGAGCGTTTTGAGCGTTCATTGAAATAATACACATGGCGCGTTTAAAAAAACAAAACAAAAAGTTGATGAGGTTATGTTACAATTTGTGAGTGGTATCAATAAGTTCTATTAATTGTTGGTTAACATGATTCATTAAACAAAAATTATGTAAACATCAAGATTATTGTATAATTTATTATTTTTCCAGTATACCTTCACTTTCGTGAGTTTCAGAGTTGAGATCACCTGTATCCTCAGTATCAAGACATTCTTCATTGCTAGAATTATTGTTAAAAGCATCATTAGATAAAGAAAGGTCGTTATCAACATTAGTCGATGTCGATGGTCCTGATTGTTGATTGAAGGCTTTTGTTACTAATTTTGTAGCAAAAACTGTATCTGGAATCAAAATATGTTTCTTTTGACAAATATATTTTTATTGATAATTAAAGTTGTTGATTCATCAATTTAGGTTATGTTATTGACAAATGATAGAAATATATAAATTGCGATAAATTATAAACTGCAATTATGCTTAATAAGCTTCATTTAACAATAATATTACCTGTTAACGCACGTTCAGCATCTGCAGGAGAAAGTTTGCTATCCACAACAGTATCTCGTTCGGCAAAATAGAACGATATTGTTGTCGCTATTTTTGCTGCTTTTAGTTTTAAAAATTGCGCTCAGTTTCTCAAAACGCTCACATCGACCCACCTCTTGAGATGGGTCGTCGTGAGCTAGGCGTGAGCATAAGTAATGACGTCATTAATGACGTTTTCGCCGCGACCACAACGATCGCGGTCGCCATGTGGAACGCCTGAATGAGTGTTTTAGGCGCTGTGAACGCTTAGTGGAACGCACCAAAAGTTGTCATAACTGTCACAATAATTTGAGCTATATTTGACTCCATTTTGAATAAAATACTTCTGAATTGTTATTACTTAGTGTTTATTTTTGTTCTTTGGCAGTTGCCAATGAATAATGTGGATTGAATATTGTGATAATATGAAAAGACATTGACAGTTGATTCAGAAATCATGGTTGCAAATAAGGAATTATGGAAACGGGCCACCACTTGTGGCCACTTATCGAATATCGTCAATTGTTGATAATTACAAATATACGTTGAACGTGGTGGGTCAGTTTCATAATCATCTAAGAAATCATGACCATTGTCATTATAGTCAACATTGTCAATGATAATTGTCAGAACTGTTATTTTACTTATGGTCCTTTGATGAATCATATTTGATACATGAAGGCCAATTTGTCTTTGAATTTTTCATAATTCAAAACCTGTTAAACACACATATCTATGCCCCATATTCAGAACATTTTTTCTAATGTGTGAGAAATTGATCGATTCAGTACTGTTTACAGTACTGCAAACAGAATACGTGAAAAGCAAACACTACCCATAACTCTGAATAATCTCAAGGCGGCACGTAATTAATTCATTAAATTAGCGCAACGTGAATCATTTCCCAATGAACTTAAGAAATGGAAAACTAAAATGCCGCTTGAATCGGGAAGTAACATCCTCTCTCTCAATCCTTTTCTTGACGAGGAGAAAATCATCAGAGTTGGAAAGAATATCCAATTCCAAATACCTCTTTTCTGAAAGGTTCCGATTATACTCTCACCACAAACACCACTTCACAAAATTATTGTTCAATGATAAAAGGGTGTTACATACCGGTCCACAACAATTGTTGTATTCCATTAAAGAAAACTTCTGGTCCACTTCGGGCCGTTCCATCGCAAGAAAAACTGTGCGCCAATGTATAAAATGTTTCAGAAATAATCCGACCCATTATAGGAAACTTACCAAGTGAGAGATTGGAACTTCAGCCGCCATTTTACATCTGTGGAGTAGATTATGCCGGACCACTCATGACGAAAGCAATACATCTAGAGTCAGTTTCCGACCTAACGAAAGATTCATTTATATTAGCCCTTCTTAGGTTTGTAGCGCGAAGAGGCAAAACTCGGGGAATATTTTCTCATGACGGAAAGAATTTCGTCTCTGTCAGTTCTGAACTAGCCGAGTTGGGTAAGTTCATTCAATCCCACGAAGTTCAATTAACAGAATCATTCTCAATAGAAGGTATTGAATGGAAATTCATTCCGCCATTCTTTCCGCACTTTGGAGGTCTGTGGGAAGCCGGCGTAAAATCCATAAAATATCATATGAAACGAGTCATGGGAAATGCTCACCTCACTTTTAAAGAACTTTATTCTTTATTAACGCAAATCGAGGCAATAGTAAATTCTCGTCCACTCACACTACTTTCCACTAATCCATCAGTTCCTTTAACTCTTACTCTTACTTCGTAATCGAAAGATCACTCATTGGAGTACCAGATGCAGATTTGAGAACCGTACCACAGAACAAATTGTCATCATATGAAAGGAAGAAGCGAATCACCTAACATTTTTGGGAAAGATGGAGCAAAGATTTCATTTCCGAAGTTCAGCAAAGGCTTGAATGGAAAACGTCCCAACAACAAAAAGAGACGGGAACGGGAAAGGGACGGGACGTGTTGATGAAAGAGGAGAACCCATGGTATGGAAGCTTGGAAGAATCGAAGCAGTGCATCCAGGCAAGGATGGTATCAACCATGTGGCAAACATTCGGACTTCAACTGGAATGGTCAAGAGATCCTTCAACAGAATATGTCCACTCCCAATAGAAAACATTGAAAGCCAGGTCTTTCAAGGTGGGGGCCATGTTCAGGCATTTACCCTGTATAGTCACTTCCCTCCCGGATGACAGACACAACCCTGGGGTCGACGAGAAGAACAAGTAGAAGTTTACAAGCATTCAAACTGAACAGAAACTGAATTACTATTTCTCATTTCTATCTGTGTGTTATTGAATAAATAAGTTTTATGTTGTCATTTTTACAAAACTAAAAGCACTGCAATACCTAATACATGTTATCTGAGAGGGTCATGTTAGGGTTCATAATAATACAACTATCCTCGCTGAGGAAACAACTACAGCTGAAATACATATGAGTGAAAGTCAGAACAATTTGAACAATGAAACAATTCACAGTTTATTACATATCGCATATACGACATATATATACCTCAGATGCACCAAAATATTCAACGCCATATTTTCCTTTGGCATTTTATTTGGCATAATTTATTATCATGGTTAGTGTATGCCCATTCATTTTCTAATTTAACTTTGGATATCCATCTAGTTTGTTTTTATACATTACTGACGTATTTCTGCAAGGATAAGTGCTGAAGTACGTATCAAAGGTGAAGTAACAACTTTGTATTTTCAAAGTGAGTGCCATTTTTTATGCAACAGAATTTATTATTTTTCTAATTGAATATGATTCAATATGTCGAAACATTCTTCAACTTCTTACCCATTTCGAAAATTACGTCAACTCACCTGGACGGCTGTACTGTACCACATCTGCGAATCCTGGACTGCCGGGCTCGCCTTTCGGCCCCGTTATAGATAACCCTGGAACTCCCGGAGGACCTGGTGGACCAGGAGGACCTGGTACTGGAATGTATCTCGTCATTTCATCAGCCGATTTCGGCCCAGGAGGACCAGGAGGGCCGGGATTTCCGTCACGACCCGGACTACCTTCTTGCCCTCTATCCCCACGATCACCTTTGTCTCCTTTTGGCTGAAATGTGATACAATTAGGTTCAGTATTCGCATAAGATTGTTTCTTATTGATGTCACTGAAAATATTGGATTTTTCTTATGAAAAAAGTAGTCACTGAATATTCTCCAGAAGAACTGAGATAATTTTCAATCAGTAGTTGGAATGAGGCGATTTTGGAACCTCCTCCATCACTTTTGACCTTGAAACGACCTCTACATACGTCGATATTCCCGAGAATAGCAGAGTATATTGGACTCATCAACATATATGTTGCCCAATAACGCATTTAGCCAAGTTAGCGTAGAGAAACGCAACATATAGAAACAGATAATGAAGCGGAAAACGGCCAACTCTCGTCAAACTGTCAGCTCCTGCTAACCGGTGGAGGAGTAAAAGGAGAGAGTGGATAGGTTGAATCACTCGAAGTTGTGAAGTAACTTGATTTGAAATCTTTCAATTTTCAATTTTCATTTCTTGTTAATTGGTTGATTTTCAATTGTTGTTTCTATATTATTTCATTGTAATTTCAGTTTTCTTGTTCATTATAATTGTTATTTTTCAGCTAATCTTTTTATTTTATTGATTCTTTCACGGATTTCAAATCATTTTATATCATGTTAGACAATGGAAGTCCGAACTAATGAAATGCACCATGAAACATGGTCAACCACTTTCAAACATTTTTCTCGACATTTGTTCATAGTTTTTCAGCTGTTCAGTTTGTTGGTGAGAGGCATACAAGTTGGAAGTATATTGTGTGTTCGGCAATATACCCAAAAACATTTGTTTATCTAACCACTGCACGTGACGTAGGTACGTGAAGGGTTGCAAAAAAAGGCTCAAATGTACCCCCAAGAACAATGGAATGACGTAAGTTTTGTGCATTTGTGCACCCCTGTTACTTTTTGTAGAAAGGTGTGGTCATCGACAACGAAGAGAGAGAAGTGCCAAAAAGGCCTTAATGAACGATCCTGGGGTGAGAGAGAAGACAATAGAATGACTTAACATCTTGAGCAACCTCGTTTGCGTATATTAGAAGAGGTGGCCGCAGAAGTGGCGAATGGGCCTAGGTAACTCCTTTGGGGTTATAGAGGGTGTTTTTTGCTGAAAGGGCCAGTCTAGCCTCGCCTATATGGTATCCTTTGTGACGTATTTGGTAGTAGGTAGTAAGTAGACGGAGCTGTTCCGTTTCAAAGATGAGAAATATGTCCCAAAAATGCAATATAGTACGTGGTCTCTAACATGACCGTTGAGTTAGAAGAAACAATGACGGTCACCGTAGATCGCGTTTCGCTAACCATCAACAGAGTGCCTTGAAATACATCGTTTATACAGGGTGTTTCGTTTATAAAAAAAATTGTACGGTAACGGCTCAAACTGCTAAGAATATCAATACCTTTTCGAGACTTGTTCAAGATTTGATCAATACCTGTTCGAGACCTGATCAAAATCTGTTTGAGACCTGATTGGTACGTATACAGTGTGTCCATGATAACGTATACAACACGATTAGTGTGTTATTTTTAACAAAACAAGAAGCACCGTAAATGACTTGTATGGAAAAGCCTTGTGCGAGCTTCTACCGTATGACGGCTTTATTTGGGTGGACGACACCAACATCGACGTGACACAAATACCTGACGACAATCCTGACGGATATGTTTTTCAAGTCGATTTAGAATATCCCGACACACTACATGATCTACATAAATACTTTCCATTTTGCCCAGAACACCGAGTCCCACCCAATCAAAATTTCCAAAATTGATGACGATATTACACAAAAAGGAAACTAATACGTTACATTAACGAAATTTCAAACAGGCTCTCGAACACGCACTCAGATTGAAAAAAAATACATAAAATGTTGAAATACAAACAATCAGCTTGGCTTCGATTCCATATCAAGTTGTATACTCGCCTTAGGCAAAACGATGAAGAACATCTGGAACCACCACATCGTCAAATTGGTGCGAGAATATGAAGGCCGTTATGGGGTGAAAAATTTGGTTGCATCTCCCCGATTTTACCAACGAACAGTTTTTGATAAGAACCTGGTAGCCGTCGAGATGAAAAAGGTCGAATTAAAGTTCAATAAACTACTATATCTTGGTATGAGTATTCTGGATTCATCCAAAATCGTAATTTATGATTTTCACTATAATTTTATGTTATCAAAGTTGGGAGTGACAAACTTCAATTTGATGTAGGTACACCAACAATGACTCTTTTACATAAGAAATTTTTTGTGACGACGTATACCGCGTTTTACTTCTACCAGAATTGAAAAAA